GGAGCGCCCATCTAAGGCATCCCGTCCGACCCAACCCAGACATGGGCGGCCGGTCAACCAAACCGCAGTACAACACTGCGTCCCTTCGACCCGGATGCGGGTAAGCACGAGCGCCCTTCTAAGGCATCCCGTCTGACCAAACCAAGACATGGGTAGCCGGTCAACCAAACCGCGGTACAACACTGCGTCCCTTCGACCCAGATGCAGGCGATGCGGGAAACTAGGGATCATCCTTCTCAGGCATCCCGTCCGACCCAACTGGTCGGCCGCTCAACAAAACCACGGTACAACACTGCGTCCATTCGACCCGGATCCAGGCGACACGGGAAAACTCCGGAGCATCCTTGTCAGGGTCGCTTACCCCAGGGTCACCTTGGTGCTCGCTCACCCATGGTCGTGCGATGGCGCTAGCTACCCCAAAGTCATGGGTAACTTGTTCTAAGGCCATGTGTTCCCTTCACTCAGGGTCGTGCATTAGCATTTGCCAACTCCTGGGTTGCGTAAATGCAATCGCTTGTCTTGGGGTCAGGCGATGGCGCTCGCTACCCCAAAGTCATGGGTAACTTGTTTGTAAGGCTATGGGTCCCTTCACTCCAGGGTCATGCAGTAGCACCCGCCAACTCCTGGGTCGCAGAAACGCGCTTGATTGCCTTGAATTCGTGCATTGGCACTCGCTTATTTCTAGGTCGCGCCTTGGCGCCCACTAGTTTTAGGTTAGCGCCTTGGCTCGCTGATCTCAAGGTCACACGGTGGCACCTGCTTACCAGGGTCGCGTAAAGGCTGTCGCTCTCCAAGTTCGTCGTGCCTCACATGGCTAGCGCGCTTTCATCTCCTTTGCATCTTCGTCGTGCCACAAGTGGTCATTGTGCGGAAAAAACCTTCTCTTCACTGTTAAAGGTCCGTCATGCCATGTTTGTTGGGTGAGTTTTGAAATACTTGCATGACTTAAGATCCATTGCGACATTTCTGGTTGGTGCGATCACATTGGCACTAGGCTCACAACTCATCCAATTAGGCATCACGTCAAGTGTACCAGTTCAAGGGTTTGGGGGCAAGAATACGGAGCCAACATATCGCTCAACTCTTCCCAAACGGGGCAATAACCAGTAAGCCTTCCTGACTTGTATCGAAACTAGGACTGTATGGGAACACGTCCAGGGCTGCCTATGGTCACAATTGGTAGGGGATCAGGCGCTCCTAACCTTTTAAGGTTTAGTCGCCTTTGACACATTGCCGATGTCCCAAGGCTTTTTTTGCGTCGATTTCCCAAGGCTTTTTCTCCTTCTGATCTGCTTCTTTTCCTCTATTGACGAATTTCAATCTCATAAATCGTCAAAATGAGTTAGCTTGTTCTCACACCGAGTTTACGTTCGACTATATGCGCCACTGCGGTTTCTCAAAGCTAATCAGTGACCATATTGCTCTTAGATTTTGGAAAATTATTGGGTAGCCCATCAAGCCTCGACCGCGCTACAGCACGGGGCTCCCCCAAGGCACACCATGATGGTTCTCTTTGACGCAATTTCACTACTGCATCGGGTAGGGGTGTTCGCGATCCGGGTGGTTTGGTTTTGGGGCCAATCCGTGAACCAAACCGTTAATACGGTTTTGACCATTTGCAAACCGTACCAAACCATTCTGGAATTTGAATCCGGACCAAACCAAACCGATCCGTACCAAACCATTCTGGAATTTGAATCCGGACCAAACCAAACCGCATTGAACGGTTTGGTATGGGCGGTTTCATAGTTTGGGCCTTGATTTTGGGCTTTTTAGTTTTTTGGACAAAAAGTAGGGCCTTTTCTAATATTTTCTCTTTTTTTTCTCCGTTTTTTTTTTGGATGAATCCCAATTAAAAGATTTTGCCCAAATGAGTAGAAATTTTTTGAATTCCGTAAACTTATCAATTAGCGTGGTAATCATTTACTCAGTAAGCCATCTCTACAATTAAGCAATTACATCTAAATCCATCAATAAAATTACAATACAAAAACAAATTGTGTTGAAAATTCTTCTCCTCCGAAGCATGGTAATCTTCTTCTCATCAAATCCTGAAATCACAATAAAAGTCATCACATTAAAAGAACTCAAAGAAAGCTTTCTTTATAATTATCAACAAAAATTTCATAATATACCAAGCCCTTAATAAGAATTTTCCCAACAAGTTTTGATCATTTGAATATTTTACCTGTGTGAAAAAAAAATAATCATGTAAACTCATCCACAGGTTGCCATAATTTCTGAAAATGCTACCGTAAAAAAAAGGTTCATATTTCCTTCTCAAAGTTAAGGAGCGGAAAATTTTCTTAATCGAAGAGGAGAAGAGAAAAACTCTAGAGACTTGACTTTCCTCAAATCATCTCGTTTATGAAAATCTGACAACAGCTCGAGAGATGTCAACTCCCATATCGGGATTGATAAAAGAAAAAAGTAATCAATTAAATTAGAATATCTATCAAACTAGAGAGTGAGACTGCTATTAAATAATGGAGAAGAAGATTTAATTACCTTGAGTGAGACTGTAAAAGATTTTGATGGCAGGAACTTCTGTTCTCAGATCTGGTTCAAATTGAGTTCAACTGTAGTCTTTCATTAGCCACCTTTTGCATTGCAATCGCGCAGCGCCACAAGTGTGCTGATGGGATTGAGCACGCGGCGTGTAGTCGGATCTGGTATGGAACGGTGGTGGTAGTCGGTGGAGTAGTTGGTAGGTTGTTATTTGGTTGTGAGGGAAAGGGAGAAAAAAGGAGCCGGCTGCATTTCTTCTGGGATAGGATAGAGGGTGGGAGTTGGAAAAAAAAATCAGTTTGGGGAGTGATAAAAGGGGGTAAGAAAATTGAGTGGTGCGCGATTCAAGCTCATGACTGCATGGAACTGCAGTAATTAAACTACCAAATGTACAGCCAAACATTTATGCATATTGTAGTCTATGTTTTTTTCTATATAATATAAATAGTATTATTATTTTTTAATTATATATACGGTCCGGTTCGGTTTGACTGACGGTCTCCTACTGTCAATCCGTAGACCGGATCGTTATGCTCGGTTTTTAAAATTACAATTTGGCGGTTTCAAAATACACTTCTAAAACACCCGCTAATCTAAACCGAAGACCGGTTTGGGCGGTTCTACCGGTTTTATTTAAACCATGAACACCCCTAGCGACGGGGGCATGACATGCCCCAGGTCACCCAGGATAGGACATGTTGCCTAAGCGGATCATTGCTCAATTAAAATGGGGCTTCTTGCTTGAGCAGAGTGTCGCTCACTGATGGCTCACCCTTGTTTTCCTCAGTAAGAGGGTCTCACGTCAATTGCTCATCTTAGATTTCCTGGGTTATGACTCTTCACTAGGGTGCAGCACTGCTCACTGATGTTTCCTTCGCCTCAGTTGGGACGTCATTCACTGATAGTTTAGTCTTGGTCGCCTCGGCTGGAACTTCATCCACTGGCCATCTCCCTGGACGTCCTTCACTCTCTTTCTAGGGACATGTTCCTGACGACCTTGGTTGGAATGGTTGAATCCTTGGACTTGTTATTACTTGCCTTTATAGATGGAGGTAGTCCCCGAACGGCTACCCTTGCATTCTTCAGGACTGACGTGTCCTTGATACCCTATGTCAGATCGCTAAGATTATGGCATCTTGCCCGGTTAGAGTATCGCTGGCCAGTAACTCGTCCTTATTGGAGCGTCCCATTTCGACTGTCTATCTCGGATTGCCTACGTTAGGGATCCTCGCCTAAGGAAACCATTGCTTGCCTTGGCTCAAATTTCGCTCGTTGGTGGCTCACACTACCTCGCTTGACAGTAAATATCTTTGCTCAATTGTTTATCCTTGGTAAACCCACCGTTCATCAATGGTGCATTGTAAATCGCCTGGTTTGACACGTTGCTGTCGTAGATCTAATATATTGAAGGTGATCGCTTTGGTTCGAGCGTAATCCACCAATTGATGGTCCTTCATCGCCTCAGAGCGAGATTTGCTGATCGCTTGTCTTTATTTGCCTTAGAACGGGAATCGCTTCTTAAGTATCTATTACTAATAGCCTCGGTTGGAGTGGCGCTCCCCCCAATGGCTTACTCTTGAACGCTTTGATGTTTTGACCACCGATGACTCGTCTTCATTTGTCCGTCATTGGCTTACCATCGAAAGCTTCTGTTAAAGCGTCGCTCACCGACGCCCTATCCTTATTCAGTCTAATTGAAGTGTTGACCGTCATTAACCTGTGTTTAACAGCCACCCAGGTGGAGGTAATTCTAAATGGTGCTTCATTTGGTTCTCTAAGGTCATGCAATTACACTCATAGGATAACCTTAGGGTCTCCCAATGTTGCTCGCTTACATCAGAGTCACCAAATGGCGCTCGCTTACCTCCTGGTCGCCCAATGTTGCTCGCTTACATCAGGATCCCGCAATGGCGCTCGCTTACCCCCGGGGTATCGCAAGTGCGCTCGCTTGTCCCGAGGTCGCTCGATGGCACCTATTGACCCCAGGGGTCGTGCCTTGGCTCTCGCTAACCTTGAAGTCGCGCCTTGGTGCCCGCTGATTTTGGGATCGAGCAATGGCGCACGTAAGTTTTGAGATAGCACCATGCCGCTCGCCAACTCCTAGGTCGCGCAAACGCTCTCACTTGCCTCGGGTTCACACGATGGCACTTGCTGCAGTGCTCATTCCTGGGTCGAGCAAAGATCTACGAGTCTCATTGTCATCGCACAACTACAGTGACATACATATTCAATTCACCTAAAACCGCTTCAAGATACGATCGCAAGATAGTAGCATCAATGCTAGCTGGGATGTTTTGTTTCTTGCGATGCGGTACAACTTCCCCAATTCGCGGATGGTACCTTCCAACTCTTCAGTTCGCTCATCATCTTCCTCCAAAATTTGGATGAAATTATGGAGATGGCCCTCTCAGAAGCGTTCAGTCCTCCAGTAATCGTATTGACAATGCTTCAACGCCCTGAATTCCACTTGCGCATAGATCGCACAACATCCTTTAGTGGTGCGCATTCAAAATACAGGAAACAATCCGGTGGTAAAAAAGCGACTCCTCTACATTTACATTGGGATCAAGAATGTGCACGGATACCATCCTATCCCCAAACATGTTTGCAGAATTGGACCCCTTTCCAGTTGCAACTCCATCTGCAAGCAGTAATACGGCAACACTGCACAATGGGTCGCCCCCAACGGGGAAGTCGATCAACACCACTTCTGGTACGCCTGGACTACCACCCCCCAAATTCTGTGGGGGTTCCCTGAGACGAGTGGCGTCCTGCATGCCAGGAGGATTGCAGTCAAATTATGCAAAAGTAAATGGAAATATACCTCAACCCTAACATTATCTTGGGGCAATGAGGTCTTGTCTCTGGTAGGCAAGCAAACTCCGTTGCGAGCCTTCTCCTCGGGAGCAGTCTCACCTTGCGACCCACCACCAAAGGAAGAACAATAGCCAAAAGAAGAGCTGTCGCTTGAAGACTCACTAGGCGATCGAGAAGGGGCAACCACCCCAGATGGCATGTCAAACGCGTTCCTAAGATCATGTTACAGACCCAAGATATTTAGCGCCGCTTCTGAATACGGGCAGATGTCCCAGATAGCCTTCGAAACAAGAAGCATTGTTAATTTGGGGATCGTGCAATTGTGTTCGTAAGTTTTGAGGTAGCGTCATGCCGCTCACTAGTTTGCCTTATGTTGTGCGTTGGCGCTCACTTACTCCTGGGTCGCGCAGTGGCACCTGCTAGTTTCAAGGTCGCACCATGCAGCTTACTGACTCCCAAGGTCACTTAACCCAGACCCGATGACATACCTAAAGGAACCCCAGAATGAATGGGATCGCATTTGGCGACCACTTCGCCAGGGGCATTCCATACGCTCACATTAAGGCCGTCACAAAAGGAATAAGGGGAAGGTTCAACCCAAGTTCCAATTGGCAGAAATATACAGTCATTTTCTTGGGAGGGTTTATCTTCAAATCAGTGCATTGGATTTTGAGCTGAGCTTGTGCTTGAGGATATGCACTATGCAGTCCCCAAAACTGACCAATAATGGTAGCACTCTTAAACTCTGAAAGTTATCACGTCACAACCAGGCCATGACTTGCCTTAGATCACCCACATTAGAGCTCGCTTGAAGAGAGGGTTCCGAGCCACTGATTACCTTTCCTCTTCTTGATTGAATTTTCGCTCGCAGTAGATTGTCCTTCTCTCCCTTATGGTGAATATGTTTGCTCAATCGTTTATCATTGACCGCATTGATTGAAACGGCATTCGCCAATGACATGTTTTTAACGGTGTCGATATAGCCGCCTGTTTGGTTTAAGTGCTCCCTGCCGGTCGCTTGATTGATCACCCCCTCAGAGTATCGTTCAATGATTGATTAGTTAGAGTATTGTTCTCCCAATGGCTTATTCTTGAATGCTTGGGTGTGCTGCTTGCTGATGGCTGGTCTTTGTTTATCCGCCGTCGGCTTCCCCTTGAAAGCATCTGCTGGAGCATAGCTCACTAACGCTGCGTCTTTGCTTACTTTGATTGATGCGTTGCCCGTCACTTGTTCTTAGCAACCACCACAGGCAGGGTAATTCCCACTGGGGAAACCTCAAGTTCCTTGAGGACTCGCAGGTTCCCAAGTAGCGCCATGCCGCTCGCTGTGTCCTACATCGAGCACACGCGCTCGCTTGCTTCGGGGTCATGCATTGGCGCTCGCTTATTCCTGGGTCGCGCCTTGGCACCCGCTAGTTTCGAGGTCGCGCCTAGGCGCTCGACGATTTACCTTGGATAGATTGTCACTCTCCAATGGACAATGCACCTTCTAGTATTGGGGTAGCAAACTGATTACGCATCCGGAGATAAGAGTCACTCGATACTTGAATCTTGAACACCAAGAACCATCATTCCCGCAGTCTTGCATAGTCGCTGTCTCACCCACTTAGGTGGACCCTGGAATGGACAGCCCCGCGGCGAGAATGGATGATAGGTCCATTTACACTTTATGCCAAGTCTTGTATACAAACTTAACTGCCGTATAGATGTGTTTTCTACTAACACTTGACAGGGGCAATTAATGGGGCATGGACTGTTGGTCATCACTAACTTACCTCAACTGCTCGTGATGCAGCAACCCTCCACCCGCCCGAGGATTCGGATAAAGCGATCCGACGTCCACAAATCATGGAGGCCCAATTCACACATCATGTTACTAAAGTCCGAATCCTGACAACCTATTGGATTTGATTTTTAGCGGGGGCAATTGATTGGGCAATAAATAATCTATTGACTTTTGGGCCCTAATCATGAAGGCCAAGTAACACTCAAGATCCATCTAAAGTCATGTGCACCCATGTGCTTGGGGAATATTCTTATATTCTTTTTTGGATCTATAAAAGGGAGTCCCTCATTCATTTATTTGATACATCATTCTCTCTCTACATAGCATTTAATACTTCTCCTTTCTCTTTCTAAGAATTCTGACTCTGGCATCGGAGTGCTAACTCTATTTTGCAGGGCATTTTAGAAATTATAGGCGTTATCCCGTGGACTGACCAATGAACACACCAACAACAGTACAGGTCGAAACGTTCCTATTTTAGTAATGCGCCCAAGGAAAATGTGATTTAATATCTTATTCCACCTCTCCATACACAAACTTAACACCAACCATAAGTTGTATCTAAGTAGATTACTTTGTCTGTCTTCACTGTTGCACTTGTGAAGTTTTAGTAAATATTCTAATAGGTAAAGTTTGTTGTTTAGAAAACAATGTAGATTTTGACATTTGGCATGACATCAAACTACATGGTGCGCAATTAGGTAGCCAGTTAAAAAAAAAAAAGAAAAAAGAAAAAGAAAGTATGACTTACATATGCAAGTGGACGTGAAAAGTAAAGAAAACTGTTTGATCAAAATGATTCAACCAAGCATTTTGCAAGGCAGCTAAACATTTGAGCCATTTACTTTAGGTTAGTCAATACTGATCATAAATGAGCACATCAACACAGGAAACATCGACCCAATCGAAATAGTAAATCCCTCGTCATATAGATAGTACTCTTACCTAAAAACAATGGTCTAATTTACTGTAGACTTAAATAATAAAACAAATTTTTCCACAAATTGAACTGTTTTTGTCTGACGGAGCAGTATCTTTTCATATGATGTTCCCAGATCACTGATCGAGCCACCTACTTTGGCGGGTTCAGACATCACCAAAGATACCGGAAAGATACGCATTTATTAGGCAGGAAAGAGAAACAAAAGAAAATTCATTGTATAATCAACCATTCAAGTCATACAGATTAGTGGCTGCAAGTGAAAGAAGCTCGTCCGGAAGCAAAGCGAATTCATCTTCTAACAAGCCAATCCAAGCTTCCATTTCTTCCTCACCACTTTTACTCCCCAATAATATGGCAGGCCGAGTTCGAGTACCAGCAGCCGGACCGGCTGAAATCGGTTCGCCCCATCCAAAGTCCAACTCGGAAGTTGGAAACTTGGACCAACTGGTTAATTGCCAATTAGCGACCCTAAAATTGGACGATTGCTGTTGTGTCAACCCCGGGAATCCATTTGTTCCCAAGGCTTTCAGAAAGGGAATGACACTGTTGTAAACATAATCATTGTTTATTTTCCTCATTGCATCACTCACGAGATGAACTAGATCACCGTAACCCATCTTTTCGTGATTCGAATCATCAGAAACTGCAGAAGCAAGTGCATAGGTTATCATGTTCCCAAAAGGGAACTCATCATCTGGTGATGTGGCTGCCAAACTGCTCATCCTGTTCCTTAAGTTCACAGGTTGCCAGATTCTGGACATGATTGTCGCACCATGGTTTTTGGCGCGTGTCACGTTGATAAAGTGCTTCCACAGAAAAGCAGAAATTACTTCTACCCGAGTAAAGTTATTCACGGATGGTGATGAGGATGATGATGATGAGGTCTTTGCTAGCTCTTTCAATTCTGTAATCTTTTCCTTGTTGAACACGAATCTGTAAGACACAGTTTACGTTAATATTCTATTATCGGAGACAAAACCATCAATTGTAAAAAAATTTGATGACATTGTAACATTGAAAAACAATGTCTTGTTGACTCTTAAATTCTGATCAATATAGGAAAGAGGATTTCGCTATAGTGCTCTAAGTGGTTCTGGTAGAAATCCCGAAATCGGATTTCATCCGCTTATGCAAGTAGAATTTAACCCTTATTTATGAGTTGGCCTTACAGGTGATGGTTTAAAATTGAAAAAAAATCGTAATCAACCCACTAACCGGAACTTAATCAAATTTGAGTATTTCAATCAGATTCCGTTAATAGTCTCTAAAATACCTTAGGGCCACAGGTCTAAACTTAATCAAATTTGAGTGGTTTAATCAGGTGAAGGTCTAAAATAATAAAATTACCAGAAATTCTTCCATCTCTAATCTTAAATATCAATTAAGCATCAACTTTGCTTTTTATTTTTTACTTTTAAAAATTCATGGTTTGAATCAGCCAAAATGTTTTGAATAATCAAATAAAAGAACCAGAGTGAAGAGAGACTCAATTGAGTTATAAAATTAATCAACCTTGCCAATTGATGAAGATCGGAGAACAGGGCTGGCCAGAACCTCAGGCCAACGCTGGTATTTGGATCCGTTGATTTGACGGCTAGAACCTCAATATTTTACGAAAAGGAATGGACAGGAGACTTAAAGCGTAACAATGAATTTGGAGGGCTTTTTCTTCCTTTGGGAATTTACTACTTCAATTAAAAAATAAAAGAAAAAATTGATGTGGAATTTACAGCTTGGATGCCGACTCCTTCGCGGTGAATTTTCGAGATGCCGTTTTCGACCTGTGTATCACTGTTCTTTTCTTTAAATACGAAGTCAATCTACTATTTATACACATTAATTGACACCGATTTAAGAAGGGAAGTACTACCTTCATTCCAATTCAATAGGCCCATTTAGACATATAGAGAAATTAAGAAAAATGTGGGTAATATAGTTTATGTGGTTAATTTTAAATGAAATCCCTATTACACCTCTATTAATAACTAGTGAGTTATTAGTTGATATGGGAGAGTTATTGTAAAACTTAATTAAATATTCTTGATTTCAGTGAAAGTGGAAATGGTATATTAGAGATTTTATAGTAAAACTTAATTAATTGTCTGAAATGAGACTAAATTTTGAAACATCCCAAAAATAGAAATGAGCCTATTGAATTGAAATGGAGGGAGTAGTATGTTGCTCCCGAGAAACACGGATCATTTTGCATCTATCCATATCATTCGCGAGGATTCATTAATAGCCATATTCTATTCAGAAAAACTAAATACACACACACATACACACAAAACTTTAAAACAATAATATACTCCCTCCATTTCAAAATATAAGTCTTTTTAGACTTGACACGTAAACTAAGGAGACAATTATCTAACAATTAATTTATGTGTTAAATATCTTTTTTACCCCTCATTAATTACGCTAGAACTATAAAAAAGACTAAATAAAAATAAATTAGCATCATTTATTGAGGGTAAAGTTAGAAAAATAGTCATTAATTTGCCTAGAATTTATAAAATAACCTACATTTTGAAAAATCTCTCCAAACCTAAAACGACCTACATTTTGAAATGGAGGGAGTAATATATTTCCTGCACAGAATTCGATTAAACAAAAATCAAACTTACCGTTTGACCACGATCTTTCCTTCCTCCGCAGGTAAAGGCAAATTAATGGGAAATTCCAGCGGATTGAAAAGATGCGCACCAATCTCAAAATTTGGTACCTTAACCAATGGCGATTTTTGACTGTCATCTCGCTTAATGGCAGCCCATGAAACCAAAAATGTGAGCAAGGACATGAAATCAGCTATTTTGTGGGAGATGCATATCCCAATGATACTGCCTCCACATCCAAACCAAGTGATTTGGACTGCTAAAAGTGGTGCTCCACAATGACTACCATTGTTATTAGTATATGGCTCCATTGGCAAGTATTGTCCAAAATGCTCGTAGGGAGCATTCTTCACAGTTTCTGAGAGGGAACCATGAACTTTAGCTTCCACAAAAAGAGCTCCAGAATCATCACAATCAATGCATAGATGATTTGGATTGAGCCTTCCGGCCAAAGGGTAGAATTTATTCAAAGACTCAGATAAAGATTGCTTCAAATGCAAGGTTATTTTGGATGGTTCTTCATGATGCTGATTTTTGTAGAATAAAAGAAATGGGGTGTATATTTGTGGTGCAAGCTGATCTATAAGAGACAGTTTAAGCTCTCTCTTATCATGAGGGGTTGGAGACGATGGTTTTATCAAATCCCTTGATTTTATTTCTATCTTCTTGCCTTCCATTCTCTCTTAATTTCTTTGAGATATTTGTGTGACTCAGTAATTGTTAAACTGAACGTCGATCCCCACTTAAATAGAACCCGATGAACAATTTGTCATTTGCTATGGAATTTGACTTATGGGATGAGACATATGAATACTAAACGGGAGCTTAATTAGTTCATCTAGCCAACTTGACACAGTTGTTCATTTTTTATTTTTTTAATTTAATCCCAGCGACTTATTAGGATCCCGGCAATTATTAGATAACTATACCACAAATAATAAATTCCCACGAGCTGCTCAAGTTGGTCCAAGTTTTGACCGAATGATAGCGCCAACTCCAACATTTACTTCGTTGATAATTGTCATTAGCGTCATCTAACGTGGAAAATTCAATTAGTTGCGACAACTCAGGAAGTGTCATAATTATTACTCTAATTAATCACGAATGAGGAACACAAGATTCTGAAGTTCTTAATGTAAATTGAGACAACTTAGCAATTGATAGAGCCAGGGCGTATAATTCTATTTCTTTACGCTTAACAGGCCACCCGCGCGCTTGGTAACGGGGAAAAAAAATTATCGTTTCTGATTGTTAGAGATTCTTATAATCTGGTGAGGGCTTCTTTTTTTTTTCCCCCTGTACTTTAAGTTCGTCTACCATAACCATACATTTAAATGATGACATTGGTGATTCTGTTGTCTATGAAATAGGTAAAATAAAATGGGGATAGGTGGAGGATATTTGAGTAAGAAGAAGTTTTTTTTAAAAAATGAAAATAAATAAAATAAAAGAAAGAAAGGAGTAAATTTGGCCTTGGAGCTAATTAATTTTAAATAGTCTGCAGATTGTAGAATATATTGTCTGAGTTGGATGGGTTACAGTTTGGGGATGAACGAGATTAATGTACACAAAATTAGCTACTTAGGAAACAAAACAGTGATACAATTTACTGATACAATAATCAAAGCTAAACCCAAGACATGAGTTTTGTTGCCTAACCTTGTGAAAGATTTACCTTCTCCGTCCCGAAATTATTTTATAGTTTGAGTTTTTATTTTTAATTCAAATTATAGTTGAAAGTGAAATTTCCAACTTGACAAAAATTTTGGGATAGATGAAGTATTTCAAATGTTGTATTAGTTGTTGCAAGGGGTTAGAGGCTTTCTGTGATTGACTAGTTAGATGATACCCCCGAGTTTTGGTTATATTTACAATAAACTCCCCAAATTTACATAAAATTATCAAATGCTCCCTTGGTTCATAGTCAATCTGCTAAATACTCCCTTAAAATGGTAACATTATCATAAATTTTGGATAAATGTTTATTAATGTACGCTAGTTTTGAAAATTATATAAGCAAGGCCGCGAGACAACATCTAAAGGACACAACATCGCATCATCATTGAAACTATATTTCATTTTCTTTCATCTTTTCATTTTTTTTCCATTTATTTTATCATGCTTTAGAACTAGTCTATAATAAATAGTTGTTTGCCTATTTGTTCTTCATAGAAATAGGTAGTTCGTTTTATACTTAAGAGAATTCGTCATCTATGTAATAGCGTGTCATCGACAACATTTATAATTAGTCCGCACTATTTGTCTCTTTTCGTCCCCCTTTTATGAGTTGAGCATCATACTTTTGGTTCATTTTTACTTAGTTTAATATCTTTTTATTCTTGTTTTTTGAACCAAAGTTAATCCTAAATCCCCAATTCTGAGTTCAAGGAAGGTTTTGAACCATCCACAATCACCAGATTCTTTTGGATTTGAGAGATTTTTATTCCCTTTTCCTTCAGTTCTGGGTTTAAAAATTCTGCTCCAAGACAAGGGTGGATAATTGAATAGGTTAAGATCAAACATCCAATCAATATGTTTGAATCTAAACTCTAGAATAACTTGTGGCTAATTAGTGAGCATCACTTCCGCCATCCATTCTTTACCAAATTAGTAGACAAAACTTGTTGAATTCAACTATGCAGTTTTGATGTATGGCCGTTTTTGGATAGAAATTCGGGTGGATTTCCGACCATTACACTTTGAAGAGAAAGAACAAGTATCTTTTCAAATAACTAATACTCTTTTCGTCCCAAAATATTATCCAGTTTAAATTTCAATGTTTTGCGCCAAATAAAATTTAAAACTAGACAATTATTTTTGGACAGGGAGAATAACAATTTTAGTTAGAAATAAAAGGTTTTTAATGTATCAAACATAACATTTAAAATCAGTATGGAAATTACACTATTCTAGTCCAAAATTAAATTCCTCGTAACAATAACATTATTTAAGTTAAATTCAATTAAAAAATTGTAACACTACTCAATATAAATGTACATTGGTGTTGAATGTGGGGTCAACTTCTGATTTTTGGAAACTTGAGAAAGTGGATTAGTGGTTTTTAATTAAAATGAGGCATTTTTTGAGTTATTGGTTAAGTACGAGACTCAATCTACAATATTTGAAACTTTGAAATAAGGAAAACACGCTTCTCTTCTTCTCTTCCGTCTAGTGCAAGTGTGCAACTCCTCTCCCAATAAAAATTCAAGACAAATAACTCAATCCCATAATAGATTGGATATCTCCTTCCTTGAGTTACCTAACATTCTCGACGATAGATTGATTAAGGACAAATGAGGAACCGCGGCGGAGATACTCGTAAAAGGTTTTCCAGTGGTCGAGCAGGATCTGTCTGCTTACCACACCGGCACTTCATTGGTCCTATCACTAATTATGATTTTCTTTTTTTTTTTATAGTACGTAATTTCAAAGTAAATATTTAGTTGCATCGCGCTAACTTGTGTAGCCATATATATTTGGGGAGATTGCGTGCTAATTTTGCAAGTGTCATGGAATAGGACCTAATTAGTCGATTTCCACAGTTCATGGCTTAATTGTAATTTGAGAAATTAGATGATTATAAATAGTCAGATTTGTGCTTAAAATAGCATTATGGATAATATTGAATACTGAATAATAATTAGGAAAATCTCAATTCTTTCTCCTGAAACTTGTCTTCTTCCCCATCTTTTCCTATAATTCTGATCTCCTCCCTCCATCAGTTGGCCGATCTCCGGTGTCTGATAAATTGGCCTCGGAGCTTGTCGGTACTTGGCCTTTCTGTTTCCAATCTCCATTTCTTCCTCGTTAATCTATGAATTTCCTTCTATAGGAAATCAACAATGGCGGCCAAAGAAAGGAGACTGAATTGGCTTTCTTGCCTTTTCTCATTGAGTTAGGGTTTCATATATACAGTTACCACTGATTAAAGAATCATCGTAAATACAGTAAATACAAGACATTTATGAAACCCTAATACAATATGGTAATATCGTTAATACCCCCCCTCAAGTTGGAGCATGAAGATTCCGAATGCCCAACTTGGGAATGAAAGAATCAAACTGAGACTTGCCCAATGCCTTGGTAAATATATCTGCAACTTGGACATGTGTGGAAACATAACTAGGAAGAATAGCACCCTTCAAACTTCATCCCGAATGAAGTGACAATCAACCTCAATGTGTTTTGGGCGCTCATGAAAAACATGATTAGCAGCGATATAAAAAGCGGCCTGACTATCGCAAAACAGAGAAGCAGGCTGAGGATGTGAAACACCGAGAGAATGTAACAGTCCATTAAGCCATTTCAACTCACATACGATTGCAACCATAGCACGATACTCAGCTTCAGCAGATGATCGAGCAACTGTCTACTGCTTCTTAGTCTTCCAAGAGATAGGGGAAGATCCCAACTGAACAAACCAGCCAGTAAGAGAACGCCGAGTCAGTGGACAACTGGCCAAATCAGAGTCGCACCAACCAGAGAGCTGCAAATCGCAATCAGCGCGAAGAAGAATACCCTGACCAGGAGAACCCTTGAGATAGCGAACAACACGTAAAGCCGCCTCCCAATGAGCCTGCATGGGTTTTTGCATATATTGGGCCAGAGTATGAACAACATATGACAACTCGAGACGAGTAACTGCCAGATAAATCAAACGGCCGACCAAACGGCGATTGCGTTCAGGATCAAAGAGGGGCTCGGAAGTGACAAGAGAAAGCTGGTGATTGGGCTCCAAAGGAAAACCAGCTGGCTTAGCACCCAATAGACCAATCTCAGAAATGATATCCAAGGCGTATTTACGTTGGCAAAGAAAAATGCCAGTCGAATTACAAGCAACTTCAATCCCTAAAAAATACTTCAAAACGCCCAGATCCTTCATATGAAAACACTGACTCAAATAATCTTTGAAAGTCTGAATGGCATTATGATCATTGCCCAAAATGATAAGATCATCAACATAAATCAAAACATTGAGCTGCAAATGATCACGATGTAATGTAAAAAGCGAGTAATCAAAGTAAGACTGCTTAAAACCATACCGACGCAAAGCCATAGCCAACTTGGCAAACCAACAACAGAGAGCCTGACAAGTCCATAAAGAGACCGCCGAAGTCGACAAACAGTACCCAGATGAGACGAAGAGAATCCGGGAGGCAACTTTATATAGACTTCTTCATCAAGGTCACCATGCAAAAAGGCATTGTGAACATCCATCTGATGAAGTTCCCAGCCTTTAGTAGCAGCAACAGTGAGCAAGGTGCGGACAGTAACCATTTTGGCAACAGGAGCGAACGTCTTAGTATAATCAAGACCCTCAATCTGTTTATTACCCAAAATGACAAGACGTGCTTTAAATCGCTCAACTGAACCATCAGACCGGTGCTTAATTTTAAACACCCATTTGAAGCCTATAGCCCGCTTGCCAGGAGGAAGAGACTCAAGCGTCCAAGTGTCGTTTTGTTCTAGAGCTTGAATCTCTTGTTGCATTGCAGCACACCACCTATCACCTCTTACAGCCTCCGAAAAAGTGCGAGGTTCAGTATCTGCAGTAAGACTGGCCAAAAACTCGTGATGTGGGACAGAAAAAGAATCACAAGATACATAACGATTCAATGGATAGGACGTACCTGAGAAGACTGACGAAGTGGATGAGCTGAGAGAAGGGTCTGAAGAAATGATAGTATGGGACAGAAATCAGTTAAA